TATATAAATATACATATATAGTGTGCGCCTGCCTGGGCTGTCGTTCACGTCTCTGCCAGCCCGCCCGCCCGCATGTGGCGTTGGCTATAGACGGCTGTCGAAGCTGTCGCTTAGGCATTTGCATCTGCTACTCCTTCGCAGACCATTTGAATCCTCAAGTGGTTGACGAAAAACAAAAACAACAACAACGAGGAATACACGCAACAACAATAAACCCGCTCGTGACCTCATCAACAGTCCATCACTAACAAGAACAACAACAGTAACAGCAACAAAAACAACAGTTATTGCCCAGCTGGGCTTCATCTTCAGGTGAGCGGCAAACAACATTTATTTAGGAATATTTTCCATGTATAACTAATTTTAATACATATTATATCTACTTTTTGTTTGTTTTTTGGTGTTGCAGCAACAATCCTTGTGCAGTGGAGCAACGGCTTTTAAGGCGTACCTTAGCAGCAGGTAAGATGCAGCGCATTCGGCGTGATCTTAGATAATTATGCCCTGTACCTTTAGTTACTTAGAGTGGGGTATACTCGTGGAAATTGACAAAAGAGTTATACATATTTACATGTGTGTATTTTTATTCTCGCGTTTGTCAGAGTACAGTGAGCATTCAATATGAGCAACAGGTATAAATCTGCGCTCAAACCATATGGTGTAAAAGCACTTAAAATAAGTTTAACAAATTCGTATATTCCAAAAGACTTAAGTGAATCATATATTAAATAGAAGCAGGTACATTTTAAAGTTTACCATTTTGGGTACATTTAGTCATAGTATTTAATACCCAAGCTATGCAAATTGTCAATTCATTCAATATCAAGGCAAAGAGCTAGAAGGTTTATAGTAGTTCGATCTTAACTTAAGCTTCTACACTTTAAGTTTGTATGTGCTAAAATACAAAAATATATATTTTATATATCTATATCTATTACCCATTTGCAGTGCTGCTCTAACATATCCACAATAAAGCCAAAGCAGAAGGCGAGGCGAATTGCATGCGGCAGTTGAAAGCCAGACGCAGTGGAAGATTGGACAGGACGTTTACCAATTAGTTTAGAATGGATGTGGAAAGGCGGCGTCGGTGAGTAATACTATATACTAATAGTTACACACATACACACACTCACACACACATGCACATACACATGCACACGCACTGCGACTAGTGTTCAATTAATTGTCTAAAACTGAATGAGTGCTCAGATTTGTTCACTTAAGATTTACAAATTTAGCTAAAAACAAAACAAGTAAATGTGCTCGACAGCTTGAATGAACAACTTGTAGATACCCTACATATACATTGGATTCATTCAAGTTTTCAATCGATATCAAGAGTTCAGTACCTAAGCGACTTAGCTATGCGCCAAGTAAGGGTATATACAATTCTATCAGGGAACTAATACAATAATAAGTGATACAAGCAACAGCTATGCAGGTCTACAATTAGAGTCTTGAATAACTATAAACAAATTGTTAAATTACGAACAAGATTAGGATGATCAATAAAAGTTGTCTCTGATACATTCTATGAGTCTACATTGATATCGGACCAAGTACGATTTAAGCGGTATGAAATAAGAGCGAGTTGATTATTTCTACTATGATATAGTGTGAGAATAATTAGTAAATGTACTACACTGCTTTATAGGTAGAAGTATTCTATGTGCCATTTGTTACATGGGCTCGCAATTGATGTCGATATTTATCGATGATATATGGCTATCTTATATGTTACTAGGTAAATGGATGCTCCATAGTAAATAGCCTTGACAATGGTTTAATCTTGAATATGCTGATTTAATATATAAAGGTACGTACTTTTGAGCTGTGATTGATATCGATATTTATCGGCCCTCGCTTAATCAAAGTGTCGATGTCAGAGTGCTCTTTTAGTCTCGTCGGTAGATAGCTAAATCAAGGCATATTACTTGCTGCATAGCTCGTAGCATATATCAATAGCATGAATCGATATTTATCGATTTCGTCAATTGGGAACAAATTGAAATCACTTTCAGTTTACAGCTTGTCTTTACTGTTTTTGGCAGCATAGCCAATTGCGTGTGCGTACAGGGTATACGAAAAACATCAGTGCTGAAAACACCTAGCATAATCAATGTTCAAAGCGGCAGCGGCAATCAAATTGACAAGCGAGTGAGCAAAACGATTTTGGCCATGCCCGTGCCTGGTGGCCGGGCGGGCGACTTTTCATAAATTTGCCATTTTCGCATTAAAATTTGTAAGCAAACCAAACCAAAAACAAAAACAAAAACCCAAAAAAATAACTAAAAACAAATA